TAATTCGCTGTTTATCCTTGTAATCAATCAACTGTGCGGAGCTAAGTACCCAGCCAAGTCAAACCTCCGGGACGAGAAAGGTCCCAGTTACCTCGAGGCTCCACTTCTGACCGTAGTAGACCTTGTCCCCCCTGGGGCTGGTCCCACCAGCAAAGAAGATTGGACTCAATTCCTGAATCTGGACGTGTTCCTGGAGAGATGCAGAGAATTGAGATTGATCTGCTTTTCTGCATCTCTGCGCAAAACACATCCAGATTCAGGAATTAAAAAAAAATGAAAATAAAAAATCCTCTTTGCTAATGAGACCAGGCCCCCGCTCCGCTAGATAGCCCCCCCCAGAAAGCTACGACCTCCACAGGATTCTTCTTTTTTTCTTTTTTTTTTTTTTTTTTTTTTGGGGGGGGGTGTGTGTGTGTGTGGTGGGGGGGGGGGGGGGGGGGGGGGGGGTTAATATCGTTCCTTAACGAGCAGTGTCTCAGACATGGCAGACGACGAGATACATTCTGAAAATAACAATTACTGAATTTTTAATTTTCATTTTTTGGGGTGAAATTCGTTTTCTGAGAGTGGTGATCATGAATCTCCAGAGTGGTGATCATGAGTCTCACACCCAAAAAAAAAAAAAAAAAAAAAAAATCTTACCGTAGACTCATGCGGTTAGACCAATGAATGAATGTGTCTCACACCTGTCACATCTGAACTGACTGAGATATGAAACAGGTGCCTGTTGGATGCTCAAGACGGAGTGGCTTTTGGGGCAACAAAACAAATCCCAGAGGACACGTCCCACATGCAAGCACCGCCCCAATGCCCCCTGTTCTGTATTATTTGGCTGTTTCCTTCCTCTTTTCTTTGCCTCTTTGTCTTCTGGCTGTGTGCCGCATATCAACGAGTAAAGTGACGTGAAGTGGGTCGATATGACACACGGGGGTGGGGGCAGCCGCCGCTCAACCTACATCCACGTGGGCGGCCTTGTACGCAAGAGGTTCTGAAGAGGGGGAGTTGTAAGGAAGAAGATTAAAAATGAACTGATATCTTTTTTGTTTTCCTTTTTTTCGCTTTTGCGCTCTGATATTTATGTGATGATAATATATATATATAGCAAATACAGCTATAATGACTGGGGCGATCTATTCGGGCTGAAGACGATGACTTCCTCTGACAGGATCTTTTTCTTGGATCCTTTTCGGGCGAGGGTCCGAACGGTGCGCGCATTTCAGGCCAGGTGCATCGGATCCGCAGCGCCCGCGCTTGAGGATCCGCATGTTTGCCAGATGAGTTCATACAACTGATGGTTTCAGACCAGATACATCGAACTCGAGCAATGATGGTTCTCTTTTTTTTCTTTTTTTTTTCTGGTTCTAGTCGCATTGCAGAACAGGTACATCAGGCCAGGTACATCGAACCTCCGCAGTGACAGTCTAAGCGTCTCGCCTTAACGAGCGTTGAAGTCAGTCAGTCCTGGTACGCCGAATCTCAGCCGTAAACTGCTTCAAGTCACCTTAACGATTTGATTTGATTTGATTTGATGTTTTTTTAATTGAAGGAATACAAATACAAATACACAAGAAAAGCAGACACCGCACTCACTAAAATGTTAACGAGTCCTTCGGGACATCCGTGAAAATTGGAACGATACAGAGAAGGGTAGATTAGCATGGCCCCTGCCTGAGCAAGGATGACACGCATAAATCGAGAAATGGTCCAAATTATTATTAAAAAAAAAAAAAAAAATGTTGACGTCATCAGCCTGCTACAGTCTTCCCCCGAATACAACGCACGGTCATTGTTGCTGAATTTGGTGTACCTTTCGGTCTAAATTCAGCTATAATGACCGTACGTACGTTGTATTCGGGGGAAGACTGTAAAACACGCACCCGTCATTAATCCTGAACTTGGCGGAATTTTCAGTCTAGATACAACGATAATGACCGTGCGTTCCATTCCCGTGAAGCTAACATATGCAGTAATTTTCGATGTTCTTTTCCATATTTACAAATTTTCATTACTTTTTTTCATATTTTCAATATTTTCATTACTTTTTTTCATAAGAATAATACCAATCCTTCCAGATTCAACTTCCAATCAGCAAGGAAGCGCATTTCTAAAATTAAAAAAAATATATATAAAATAAAATATAAAAAATAAAAAAATCCTTCCAGATTCGACTTCCAATCAGCAAGCAAGAGCATTTAAAAAAGGGGAAATTGTTGAAATGCCCCTGAAAGTTCGGGTATTTCGTCAGATACCCCTAAAAGGCATGGGTATGACGAAATGCCCCTATGACAGTAGTGCAACTTTGCGCAATACCCCACTCGCCAATTGGACCTGTCATCCTTGGCATATACCCCTACCGGGCCCTGGGCATATTGTCTATATGCCCCAGTATTTTAGGCCGTTGGACCCTCTAGATTGCAAAAGAAATACACCGGCCCCTGCAGCCCAGGGCCAGGGCATATCGCGAAGTAGCCAATGACGGGACAAGGGCAGATGCAGAAGTTGGGGGCATTTCAGCGTACCCCTGTGTTTTAGGGGCATCTAACGAAATGTACCCAAAGTTTTACAAGCAGCGAGACACAGAGAGAGAGAGAGAGAGAGAGAGAGAGAGAGAGAGAGAGAGAGAGAGAGAGAGAGAGAGAGAGAG